GCACAATCATAAAGTGGAGAATATTTTCAAAAACTACTACTATGACAACATCTAAATAGACACTTATATTGACGAAGTATAAAAACTCAAATAAGTCGAAACTCAGTGGCGCAATATTAAAATTAAGTTCTATTTCAAAAACTGTGGCTCCGAAAACATAAATAGACCCTTATATCAAAGGAAAAAACACTAAAATATGATGCAACGCAGTGGCGTAATCTTAAAATGAAGATCATTTTATAAATATACGGCTCCGAAAACATTTAAATAGCCTCTTATATCAAATAAATCAAACAAATTTAAATAAGCTGAAATGGAGTGGTGTGACCTTAAAATCTTAAAATTGCCCTTGACGTTAAGGCTCTGGCAGCCCATAAGTCACCCTCAGCATGATCTTTTGATTAAGTCAGCATAGTCTTGATTATATGAGATACATCAAGGTTCTTTATCGTGCAAATCAAATCTCTGCCTTGCCTTGGCGATGTGTCCAATGATGTTGACTTTATAGCTTTTTTTATTGCTTGAACTTCGATGGATGTTAATTTCTAAATATTTATTTGGAGATGGAGATATAGTTGACTGTTAAAATTATGAGAATGAAAAAAAATTAGGATATGCAGTCTTTGTATTGTTTATTAGGCTTACCAACATTTCTGTCCAAGCATGTGGTCATCATTAGGGTCAAAATTGTTTTAAAAATTATAATAAAATAATAAAAAGGCTTAGCGAACCCGAAGGTTCGATGCCGACACCACCAAACGCTTATTGCACACCTCCCTCCATCGTTCGCCGTCCGAACCCAGTCCCTTCAGATCGGCTTTAATGCAATCTTCCCACCTTCGTTTCGGTCTACCCCTCGGACGCTTACCATTCGGCACAGCAAATATTAACCTTTTAGGAATTCTCTCGTTACTAAGTCCAACAACTTTACAAGCCCATTTGATTCGCCGCGATGAAATTATCTCAATTATATTACTCGGATACAGTTCACGCAATTCGGCGTTGTGTAACCGTCTGAACTCTCCGGTTAACTCATCCTTCTTCGGTCCGAATATTCTACGCAATACTTTATTTTCAAAAACCTTAAGACGCTGCTCATCCCTTAATGTAAGCGGCCAAGTTTCGCACCCATAAAGAACTGTAGGCAAGATAATTGTTTTATAGATTCTAATTTTTAAGTTTCGGGACAAGAGGCGCGAACTAAGTAGTTTTGTCACAGAAAAATAACAAGCATTTCCCGCCTTCAGTCTAACCTTAATTTCTTCTTCAATTTCGTTTTTTCTAGTTATCGTAGAACCTAGATACCTAAACTTATCTACCTGTTCAAACATATTACCATCTATATCGATATCACCAGTAGTATCGCCATTTTTGCAGCTAACCATATATTTTGTTTTATCCACGTTTATTTCGAGTCCTAGTTCTTTACCGGCTTTCATTAACGTTGTCGTATTTAGTTTTATAGTTTCAAGGTCTTCGCTTAACAGTACCAGATCATCCGCATAGCCCAGCACGGATGTTGTCCCACCCAGATCCAACCCTTTCTCGGTACGCATTACCTCCCTAATGGCATGTTCTAATGCCAAATTGAACAGGACAGGCGAAAGGGAATCCCCCTGTTTTAAACCCGAACGAACCTCAAATTTTTCGGACAGATTATTACCGATTCTAACTTTATTGAGTGTCTCCGTCAAGCACATCCTGACTAGATTTACTAATTTTTTAGGAATCCCCTGCTCGATTAGAATATTATACAGTTTCTGGCGGTCAATAGAATCGTAAGCCTTTTTAAAATCTATATACAGCTGGTGAACAATACCGTTGTACTCCAATTTTTTCTCTAATATTTGCCGTAAAGAAAATATTTGATCAATAGTCGAACGATTCCGTCTAAATCCGCATTGGTATCTCCGATAATTTCCTCGGCGTATTCCGTGATTCGACTGGTTAAGATTAAAGTAAATATTTTATAACATACCGGAAGGAGTGAAATTCCTCGATAGTTATTACAATTCATCCTCGGACCCTTTTTGTGAATCGGAATAAGAATAGATTCTTTCCATTCTTCAGGTAATTTCTCATTCACCGAGATCTTTTTAACCTACCGATGTATTTTTTTAAAAATTACATTAATAAAATAACATGTAGACAGAAGAATGTAAAAATATTCTCTTCTTACTTTATTTTAACATTCACATTTAATTTTAAATAAATATTTTAATATTTTATGTTTAGTAGTAAGTAAATAACACAAGATAAAATGTGGAAAGTACACATGAGATTATAGTATCGTAAACATAATAGTTGGCCAAGATTTTTTTTTTTAATAAATAAGAATTTTGAAAAAATGAAAAGGGCTAAGAGTAACTAAGGTGAATTCTTGAACTATAAAAAATAATTGTTATACAACAGGCAAAGTTAAACGGTAAGATATAGTAAAAAAATGAATATATATGAAAAAGTATGTGGAGCAACAGATGGGATCAAAAGTATAGAAATAAAAAATAACAATTTCTTCGTTTTATTCTTTTGTTGGGAAAAATAACAAATATAAATAGTAGCTAATCAATTAACATTGGTTGGAGTCTAGTCTAATACTGAAAACTAAGTGTGCTATGATATTGATTTGAGTGGTAGGAGAGAAAAGGAGAGCTGTGATAACTGCTATTAAACAGAAAATATTAACATGAGAGTTTCTAAACTAAATGTGCCTCAATGGCAGGTAGTCCAGTCAACGAATGCTCGAAGTCTCCACTCCTAGGTGGTGAGCCAGATGTAGGGGAGGGGCACCTATATGTCACTCACTTTTTTCAGTTTTTCGCTTATGTCAGGAAAACTATCCATCACATCGACAAAGATGTTGTATACAAAATTAAAGCTGATAAAATTTTCAATATGATTGATTTTATATCTGTTTTCGCTATCTTGCTTAGTTTCCGAGATATCCATCATCAACTATTGCTAATATGGAAAAAAATTGTTTTTACTCTATTTAACTAGATAACTTTTGATTGCTCTGTTTTACTATTAAGCCATGAAGAAGGAAGTTTTTAATAATTCAATTTTCTTCAAGAATATATGTTATTTAACTGGTTTATCTGCAACGGTTCAAAAGTTGGATCTCAATTATAACTTTATATGGCGATTCCGAGAATTTGCAGAAATTTTTTTTTTTTTTTATAATAAACGTTATTGTATATATATATATATATATATATATATATATATATATACACACATACATACATAGAGAGTTAGAGCAATATAATTATAAAGAATATTATTTTTTCTGCAAATTCTCGGAATCGACATATAACGTTATAACTGATCTAACTTTTGAACCGTTGGAGATAAACTAGTAAAATAATTTATATTCTTGGAAATTGAATTATTAAAAACTTTCTTCCCCCATGACTTAATCTTAAAATGAAGCAATCAAAAGTTAACTAGTTAAATCCAGTAAACAACATGAGGTAAACATTTTTTTCTCCACATTAGCGATAGCTGAGGATGGGTATCTCGGAAACTAAGCGAGATAGCGAGAAAGGTACATTATCAGTCGTATTGCAAATTTTAACAGCTTTAATTTTGTATAGAGCGTCTTTGTCGGTGCGATGGATAGTTTTCTTGATATAAGCGAAAACTTGAAAAACAGCAATAAACGTGATAAATTTTTTTTTTTTTTAAATTAACCATTGTTGATGCCGGATATCTTGGAAACTAAGCGAAATAGCAAAAAAAAGGTATATAATCAGTAATTTGCAAATTTTATCAGCTTTAATTTAATATAGAACATATTTGTTGATACGATGGATAGTTTTCCTGATATAAGCGAAAACCGGAAAAAAGTGACCTATTAGGCGTTTCTCCCCCCTTCCCCCCCATCTGGCTCTCCACCTAGGAGTGGGGACTTTTTGTATGTTTACCTCCTTACTAGTCTAGACTATGTCTTAAAGTCAAACATCGTGTCACCGCCATTTCCTTCTATAATCATTCATTGACTGGACTAAGGATGGACTAGAGAGAGGTATGGCAATTAATATCAGAGAGAGCAAAAAAGTAATGGATACCAGACCAGATCAGGAGGTTGTTGGAATTCTTTGCGAAGGAGAAATACTGGAAATGGTGGAGAACTACACATATCTATGTGCAGTAATAAACAAGAATGAAAGGGTCAACCGTGAAATTTCTCATTGGGAAGAGCGAGGTAGAGATGTATGTAAAAATACATATTTTTAAAGCGCCATATTTATCTACCCCTATATATGGGAGTAAAAGCTGGGTTCCATTAATCAAACTCCTAAGCAGAGTTACTGCTACTGAAATGAAATATCTTCGAAGGCTAAACCAGGAGGGACCAGATCAGAAATGAAAAAATAAGAGGAACTAGGCACTGTCTCACTTTAGGATTCTATAGAAAAGAACCAACTGAGATGGTTTTGGTATGTATGCCGAATAAATGAAGACCGTGACCCACAAAAATTCATGGAGGCAAGACCAAGAGGAAGACCTAGATTGTTGTGGATAGAGTAGCATCTCTTAGATCAGGCAGAACAGAGGTATGCGGATAAGGGATATGAGGGCTCTAACTTAGCATCAAAATGCTTGGGATTCATGGATCGAGGCACCTCCATTCTGAAAGGCACAAAGCAGTTAGAGAAAGAAGAAGAAGAAAACTAAATGTGATTGTTAAAATAAAGTAATAAATAAGTTAAGAATATTTACATATTTCTAGCAATATGTCATTTTTTAAAAATATTTAGCTTTGATGACCCCATGCTTGGGTTGATTATTAATGCCTATTCTGCATATATTAATGCTTATTCTGCTTCTATTTTTTTTTTTTTTTTTTTTTTTTTTTTTTTTTTTATCAACCTATTTAGAAAATATAAATGCAAAATAATTATTTTATAATTTCAATGGTTTTGATTAAGTTTTGTTTTTTTAAATTAGTGCAGTTGAATGTATGTTTTTGTTTTAATGTACTTTTCTATTTTTAGTTAATAGTGAAGCAAATGCCAGGAGAATCAGCATGGTAGAAAATTGCTTTGGAAGCTCAGGACAGGTATTTAATGTATAATTTTAAATATTTTAATAACTATCATAGAAATAATTTTGTAGATTAAGAAGATGCACTTTTTAAATTTTAGACATCTTCCAAAACTGATACCAATCTCATTTTATTTTAATTCAGTTTATGTATATTATAATTCAACGTTAATTTGAGATTTGCCACTTTAATTTTTACCCAGGAGTGTCTTATTTTGAAAAAAATTATATTCTTATCCATTGTGTGCTAAATTTAATGGACACTACTTTTCCTTCTTTTTTTTTTGCGGTTGGCTCTACAGGCCTTGTAAATCTTTGTTTGCCAGCACCAGCCTTCATCACTGTCTATCTTATGCTACTGCTTCCCGGTTAACGTCATGAAGCTCTGCACCACCTTTGTTTATTCTATATATCCATCTAGTTTTTGGCTTCCCATGAGGTCTCTTGCCAAATACTGTGGCATTCATTGTTGTGTTAAGGTGTCCTGATGGATTGCTTTAACCATCTTATTCTCCTTTATTTCACATCATGAGATATTGACTGACCACTTTCTTTTTGCAGTTCTTTATTATTCCTTCTCCTCCATGCATTAAGGTTCTGATTCCAGATTTCTCTGGTTTTCATGTTGAGGATTTATCACTCAAATGTTTCTCCACTTCTTTCTAAGGTGCTGGTTAGTGTCCAGATCTCTTGTGAAGATTGATTGTAAACCCTTAATTTGGGATTTCTGAAGATTTTGGGGATTTCAGTATCCTTGAGAGATAGAACAAAACTCTGTTTACACTTGTTAAATGCTGGTATATTTCTGTTAGTTGGTCACTGATGGAGGTTATTGTGGAGCCAAGGTATTTGATTCTGTCTACTTTCGGGAATAAAAGTATCCACACTTAACCTGTTGTTAGTGTGGAGTTTTCGGATATCATATATTTTCATTTATTTGTAGGCCAATTAGCTCTGTTTCTCTTTTCTGAGTCTGAGGGTGTCTAATTTGAATTTATCCTTGATTGGATCTTTAGACCTATCTTGGCATTTAAGTCTTCCATGACCAATTTTATGTTATATTTTGTTGCCTGGCCCACAACTTGTTCTCACTGATCATATAAATCATCTTTTATCTCATCATATTTTCTTCAGTTGATGCTGTGTGGTCTAGACCTCAGTACAATGTGTATGATAGATGTTCAGCTTGTTTTATAATCAATGGTTTTCGCAGTTTTTAGACGGAGTTTTGTCATAGTTTTTAACTAGAACCTAATATTAATTGTGTTGTATCTATGGGCAGTATTGAATCTTCACTATACTCGTTTCTCGTGTCAAGAGAAGAAAAGAAACAATCTCAGTTTTAGATAGCTTACAGATATCTAACGTAGACATCTTATTTAAGACTAGAAGTGATGAGCGCATGTGTAGAGATAAGACTAGGTACTAGATATCTATCAGTATCTCCAGTGACAAGGCAAGGGCTGTGTGAATAAGTAATATTATCACTTGTGACTAAGTGATATTATCACAATAGTGTAGTGCATGTATTCTTTCCTTTCTGGAATTATTTATCTATCGTACTGTTACTCTATTATCTATATTCCAAGTGTTATTTTATTTATTCTGCCATTCTACAGAAAATACTATATTTCATCACCCAAGGTGGTCATCCAAATCTACCTGGTATAGTGTAAAGGTGTTTCTAGGATAACTTTGTTGTTGCTTCTACAGATTGATTAAGAAAATATTAAATGTAACTGCATTCAAAACAATTTTGTATACTTAACAAAAAAATAATAATACACTTTATAAATCTTTAATATACAAAAAGCATTGATAACACAATTTAGTGGAATTATTAAAAGAACAAACAAATAATCACCGAAATAAGAGATAAATGGCATCTGATAATGGGGATCAAAAGGACATGGAACAGATAAAAAAAAAAAAAGTAGAAAAAACTCTTCTCATTTATATTGGTTAATTGAAAAGAATCATTTATAATTTCAAATGTTTTATAAAGGCTTAAATAACATGACCCAAGTGGTTTTATATTATTATCTTACTTAAGTTGTTACTTGTTAGTTGAAATTGAATTTGAAATGCAAATATTCTTTGTGAAATGTATAATGGTTTTATTAAATTTGAACTTTAATAATTTAACAGTTTTATATACTTAAATGAGTTTATAGTTTTTACATGAGTTTTATTAAACTTATTTATGAGTTTATGAAACTCAAAAGAACATAAGGAGCTTATAAAAATGTATTTATATCATTTAAAAATTGTCCTAATCTACGGGCATTATCTTTATTTATTGATCTTAGAAAACTAATACTATCGTACTATCAGCTTGTGATCCTAAACTTATTCTTCTTCCTTTTAGATAGATAGAAGATAGAAAAAAAAAACTTTATTCTGGGACTAAGTCCCTTCAGAATAACAATAATGTACAAACTAATAGAATATTACTGGCCTGAACGTTGAAACAATAAATAAAATTGATAAAATAAAATAAAAAGTAAAGAAAACCTTAGGTGCACAAGCTATATACAATACAGATACAACTATGTACAGAGCATTTAAAATTATGAATAAAACAATTAAAACTAAGAACGAATCATTTGAACTATGAACAGAATTATGGGGTGGCCCATGGGGTGGCCCATGGTCTGTATAAGCTCCAAACATTCCATGATGCAATTTGGAGTCCGTTATAGAAAGCCATGGTTGTTAACATGTTAAGACAGTCAGATTTTCTGAGGCTGATTTTTGGTTTCATAATGTGGTGTTTTTGACCCCTAACCTGGATGACCAGGAGGACCTGCCATATATATGACATATCACTGATTTGACCACTCCTGCCTAGTTCTTTTTTCTTGGAATAACCTCTACTCAAATATCTTGAAGGTGCCAAACATCTCTGATGTCGTTAAAAGTCTGTCCAGGGACTGAGGGGGCCATTCCAGCTAGGAGTACTTTCCTGTCAATACTTGTCAGGCCTTGGTGTACATCGGGTATTCAAAAAACAAGGCCAGGCCATCGCAGCAACAATTAGGGTTCTCTCTCTTATTAAATGAGTGCAACTCCTAATTGATATCTCCATGTCCTGCTAAAAGTTGAACACTCCAGAAATCAGGCTCTATCCAGGCATTTTTATCCCTTATCCTGACATCTGGGATGAACTCGTGTGGAAGTCTGCCTGTTTCGCAGGTGTCCCACCTTCTCTGCCATTCGGAAAGGACCAGGTCTTCAATTCTCTCAGCTACTTCCTCGTATGTTCTACTGGGGCACGTAAAGCAACTTGTTCCCACATTTGCTGGCAATCCTCGCTTTATGTTATATACTTCACTGTGGAAATTTGTATTTTTAGGTCTATTGGCATTTGACACGCAATGACTTGCAAAGCTAAAGTCGGTTCTGTCCTATATGTGGCAGTTACTAGTATCAGAGCCCTCATTTATGCCTGCTCAAGCGATCTTAAGTCTGTATTTCTCAGCCCCTGGTCCTAGGCCGGCAGCGCATATAGAGCAATAGGCAAGAATGCTGCCTTATACAGTGTTTATCTACGACCATTTCTGAGACCCCTTGTAGTTCCTGCTATGCTATTAAGGCAACTATAACATAAAACAGTTTTGCTCTTAATTTCCCTTAGGTGATTCGTGAAGTTGACCCTTCTCTCATGAGGACTCCCAAGAACTTTACCCTCTGAGATCGTTTTATTATTACATTTCCCATCTTTATTTTAGGAAGAAAGCCCATCGGCTCACCTTTTAGAAACAGGAGTCGGGTTTTCTCACAATTTAGGGAAAGTTTCTTTTCCTGGCACCATTACGAGGCAATGTTGTTAATTTCTGCTGCCCTAGTTTCCAAATTCTGTTGAGATCGAGCCTCAATACCAACAGCAAAATCGTCAACATATGCAGATGGATATATCCTGCTACCCTCAAATCAATCTGCAGAGGATTCATATTTCATGTTCTAGAGAGGAAGTCCTAAAACTGATCCTTGAGCGCACCCTCGTTGGATTGATCTCGATATCTTGTTTTCTGGCTGCTGATAAAAGATTTTTGGGGTAATTTAATTTTTTTAGTTCGTCTATTATCGCAGGTTACCACATCTTCAAACGCACCACGCGTCAAACGCACCAGCAACATCATAGAAGAGAACTACAAAGTACTTCGTTGGTGAGTCGTTGGCATCTCATGTTATTGACTTTCCTTTGTAACCTCCAAACTGATTACGGGATTGCAGGTTGATCACACATTTTAGGCTTTGCAGCATTAAACTTTCCCCATTACAATGAGGAGGTATATTGGTTGATAAGTTTTTGCAGTGACATCTGTTATACTTGGGTTCAGGACAGCTATCAATTCAGCTTCTTTCCAAATACAGGTGAATATGCCTTCACCCAAACATATATTTTAGAATGCAGATAAAGGGTTGCCATCTTTGCATTCCTCAGGATATCACCTCCTATAGTATCCGCCGGCCCTGGTGCTTTCCCCGGTCAAAGTTCTTTTTTTCCCATGACAATGCATCTTCAGTTTATAGAAGTTCGTGCATGGCAGTTCTTTTCTGCATGTGGTCTACACTATCTGAAGTCGGATCATCTTTCCTTTTTCACATCCACAGCCTCATCCCCCATTCTAGTTACATCGCAGTTGTGCATGAATAATATAAAAGTGTTTTTATTCAAGTTTTTACCAAGAGCTCTTTGATATGCAGGCCCCCATGGGCTTTTGCATTCCTCGAGGTATCTGTGCTATGATTCTTTCTTCGGTTTCCCAATTGCCATCTGCAAACGTCTGTTCAGGGCACAATAAGCCATTTTCAAAAAAAGGCACTAGCGTCTTTTTCTCTTCATATATATATATATTTTGTGTATATACATAGATAGAAAGTAAACTACATTCTGGGACAAGGTCCCTTATGAATAACAGATATGAACAAAAAAATAAAAACTACATCTGGCCAAAAATTACATTAGGCAATATTAAATAGGAGATACATATATATATATATATATATATG